TTTGTTTGTTTTGGGGTTTTTTGAGGTTTTTTGGGCGAATTTTTTTTTTAATGGAGAATGAGTATTAGTTTAAGAGGATAAGTCCAAAACCCTAATTTTTACAAAATTTATTTTAACACAACAAATAAACACATACAGTAAGATGTCAGAAAGACAGGGTGAGACCTTAGACTTGTCAAAGAAGAGTGTATCAGAAATGGGTGTTGTGTAAAAGTCATCAATATACAGATAGATGCCCACTCAGTATCAAATGTTTGGATCTGTACCACACCACATGCTCAGGTTTTGTAATTGGTGTCTGGCACCTAATACTGATAAGACAGCTTTGTGTTCCTGAAATGTACAAGAGCACAAATTATGTCATGGTACCATGAAACAAAACAATATCAACAACAATAAACAAATAACATAAAGCAAACAAAAACTTTATCCTGCTGGGAAACCCTCCAAGACAAGTATGTTCTTTTATATCAAGTATGGGTTAAAATTTATGTGCCGTATTAACTTTAAGAGAAAACTTCCTGTAGGACATGATCAGCCTAAATAGATTAAACTCCTCTAATGCTGTAGAAGGAAAACAGCATGACAGCAGTTTGGACAGTAGCATTAAGAAGTAAAAAATGAGTTTTTTAGACTTGACATTCTCTTGTCATTTGTACTTTCAATACGTGTACTTAATATATCCACCATTGGGTGCTTGTAGTGATTCAAGTAATGAATAGCTGAGGATGTTTTTAATTTAATTAATTTAATTTATTAATTTAATTTAATTTATTAATTTAATTTAATTTAATTAATTGAGAGATATAAGTTTTAGCACTGTAAAAAAATTATTTACATCCAACAGATCTATTTTAATTGGATCCTGGATTACCAAAGTGCTTTTCCATACTTTTACTTTTTTTCAAAATACCAAGATAGTATGACTGTCTTTACTTAAAAATAACCACCACCCTTGCCTGGGAAGAAAAATGTCAATCACATGGGAAAAGTGTGCATTGAAAAATAATCTTCCCTATGAGCTTCTCTCTGGAAATATTTTCTGTTTGTAGATGTACACTTGCATGATTCCCGAACATCCACTATGTATAACATTTTGATCAATTTTTATTGGAATTGTTCAGACTTGAAGTGGAAATTCAGTAAGAGCAAAACAGGCATTGTTCATCCTTTTGCATCAGTTATGTGATGTCAGTATATCATGGCATCCCCTGTGAAGGAAGCTTTTCTATTTAATATTAAACAGGTAGGGAATAGGATGGGAAAGAATCTCTGGAAGGAGCAAATTCAAATGCTTTTCAAGAGTTGAAAGACAAAACCTACAATATCTTTCCTAATGAAATCCAATTTCATCCCCAAAGTACTTAGTTTTAGGTTCTACTTTTTCTCATGCAGAGCTTTTTCCTGTCTTATCTAAGAAACTCCTAATTGTAGCATTAATTTATTATTTTATACTTTTTCCTATTACTTTCCTTCACTATTTTTAAGAGAACTGCTGTTATCTAAAAAAACACCAGCAGTGTTTTAGCAGTGATTTTCTTTTCTTTACTGTAGTAGTGGTGTTTATGGACAGTTATTACAATTTTAATACATCTAGTTCTAATGTGAATGATCAGAACATAATCATTATTTTAGATCATGTCTGATCTGTGTCCTGTACCCATAAAAAGTATTTATGTTTCCTTTCTAACAATGACAGCTTTCTTGGGAAGCATTAATTTCTATGCATATTTACACAGAGCATTTTCATTGCAAATTTACTAAAAATAAGACACCTTGCCATTGACTGTTTTGTCGTTTTGTGTCCTAGTTCCTTTCAAAAATCTAGAAAGGGGCTACCTGGTCCTTTTCAGGTTTGAGTGCAAGAAGGTCTCTTGAGTCTCACAAATCATTTTACAAATCACTGTTAGCTTCTGTCTTTACTTCTGTTCCTGTGCTCTGTATTTGGAGTTTCAAAGTATATATCTCTTGGCTTTAAACTATAACCTCCCCCCCCCCCAATTTTTAGACCAATCCTGCTGTGTAATTGCTTAACTTTTGTTTTATTACTTGCTTCATTGTGGTTTTTTTCCATTTAAGATTTTCTAGTGTTGTCTTTTCCAGATGTGGTGTGTTTAACTTCTAGGAATTGCTTCTTTATCCCTGAACTTCCTGATATCCAAGGCTCTAAGTTTATCTCAGATCAGTACCTGTAGCCTGCGTGCTTATTCTTTGCATTTTCTGGAGATAGTTATTCAACCAAAGCAGCATGGAATCCTTCTCTCTCCCTGACTTTTTTTAGTAGCACTTCATTCATGACAAGTTTAACAACTTCTGTTTTGAAGAACAAAAAAAAAATCTCACCTATACTCAGAAGATCCCTGAACTATTGTATCCCATTTTCTTCATTAAATAGTTCATTTATTAAATACTTCCCTTAATTTCTCGAGATCTTTAAAGATTCAGATCCTCCCATGCAAAATTACTTTTGCTAACCTTACAAATCTAAACAAAACCAGTTTCTGATGTGTCAAAGCACAGATCTGTAAATGGAGCCCTTGTTAAAGCCAAATGGACCATCAAAGCAGGGCAGTCACTTGAACAAGAGAGTGGCTTCATGACCTCTGAACTAGTGGTTTTTATTTCTGAGATAACAAAAGACGGCTCCTGATTCTCATTCCAGAACTGGAAGTCACAAATAATATGCATGTGGAGCTAAATGAAACTGTTAAATGTTTTTGTTTTAAAACACAAAACCGCACCAAACCAAACCAACAAACAAAAAACAAACAGGTTTTCTGGTTGCCACACCATGATATAGTAAGGTGTTCACCCCTATAGCTGTAGTTCCAAGGGATACATCTCAGATGACAAAACCAGATTGTACCCTGTTATGAGAATGACCCCCAGCCAGTACTCGGTGACTTTCAGCAGGTTTCATTGTTTTGTTTTGTTTTGTTTTGTTTTTTGCTTTTTACTGGTGTCTAAGTATTCAGGCACATCTGGGTAAATGAATGTTTATGGCCTTAAAAATAAGTGGGAAATTAGCCAAGTTGAGGTTTTGACTTTTTATATAGTGAGAAACAGCAAGCAGAGAAGTAAAACTTTCAGGTGTTAACTCGCAAAAACTACTCCTGAACGGATCTGTGAACTAAACCAGTACCACGAACTAATCCAGTACCACAGGTCTTTCCTATTGGTGCTTTTCAAGTGTTGTGGAAAAATACGTCAGCTCCCCCTGAGACCAGCTCTATCTGCACCCCGTCCTCCGAGACTACTCAGCATCCCGGCAGTCACCTGCCTCCGCCCCCTCCTCTTTGCTCCTTCCCCACCCGTCACTCCCTCCCTCTCCTTCCCATCCCCTCCCAACCCACCGTCCCCTCTTCCCGGCCCCTGCTGTAGCCCCACGTGTGTGCCCCCTCCTCCCCATCTACATCCCCGGGGCAACCGGCCCCGCCTCCGGGTCTCTCCCTCTCCTACAGCTCCGTAAACCCGCCTCTGGTGCTGGGCAGCGGCTTTTTGCTTTCCTCTCCCTCTGTCCCGGCGTGTTTATCTAGGCTCGTTTAATTATCATCTTATTTCTGTAGGGAGAAACTCAGCGCGGTTCTCTTGGATTTCTTGCTGCGGCGGAGGGGAAGAAAATCCCACCCTACTCGTTTTCTTTTATCCTTTTTTCCTACCCTCTCCTCGGGGGAAGGGGCGGGGGGGGAGGTGGTGGTGGTGGTGTTGCCGTCGTGCCCCGCTGCCCGTCGGGCAGTCTGGGGAGGGCAAAAAAGAAGGAATTCCTGCCACTGGAATCCTCCCCGCGCCCCGGAGTGGGGCGCGCTGCCAGCGGTGCGGGATCGGCGCTTCCCGCCGGGATCGCCACAGGATGGGGAGGCGGCGGCGGCTCCTGCAGCAGCGCGGCTGCTGCTTCTTCTTCCTCCTGTGGCTCTGTCTGGGGTTTTGGGCGCAGGGAGCGGCCGGGACACAGCAGCAGCAGCAGCAGCAGCAGCAGCAGCAGCAGCAGCAGCAGCAGCAGCATCGTCCGGCGGTCCGCGGTCCTGGAGGAGCTGGAGGCACCTTCCAGGAGGACGGGATCGGGAGCGCCTTCGCCGCCGGCCGGGTCCGCAGGCGTGGACAGCAGAATGCGCTTCGCGGGTAGGGATGTGCAGCATTCTCCCGCCTCCAAAACCTCTTTCCTATCGCCTGTTCTGTCCCCTCCCGGGCATCCCCCCAGTTCCGGTGGTCTTCGCGTGTGCCCCTCGGTGCATCCTGCCTTCCCGCTCCATTGTGGAGTTGAAAGGTTGCGGTCCAGTTGGACTGGGTGTTTGGTGCTTGATTATGAAATGTGGTCTCCTAATTACCGTGGTTTATTTAAAAGCAGACATTGTGTGGGGCTACATTACTGCCACATTGGGCTTCTTGATCCAGCATGTTACGATCTTAAGATACTTTGACATTCATTGTATATTGGCTTCTACAAAGAACAGTGTCAAATCTGTGGGGGTTTGTTTGTGTGTAGGAGTCTGGGGTTTTGGTTTGTTTTTTGGTTTTTTTTCCTAAGTTTTTGGGGGAGAGAGAGTTCTTGGTAATGTGAATTACTTTATCTATCGTCAAAACCAAGCATCCCTTCTGTCTTGTGTCAGATGGCAGCATGAAGGCCATTTTTCTACCAAGGCTTCTAAGATGATACATGAATGCAGAGCCAAACTCAACCCTCCCACATTCTCAGTAGTTTCAACAGGGATGAATCTGGCCTGCTCTTGCCTTGTCTGCCTCTCCTCTTTATATTAACCAGTTGAACTAATCAAAAATAAAATGCCTTGGAACTTCTTGTGGTGGAGAAAGATTTTGTTCCTTTGGAGAGGACTTTCCGTAGATATCTTTGCTACGTGTTTCAGTTTGTTTCATGCAGTGAAAGCTGGATCCTGCTCTTGTGTGTACATAAAACTTTAACTTCTTTTTGCAATGGGTTATATTTTTGTATACATATTTACTACTTTGTCTGTGTTACAGACCAAATGTGTGTGGCTCTAGATTCCATTCATATTGTTGTCCTGGGTGGAAGACGCTCCCTGGAGGAAATCAGTGCATTGTTCGTAAGTGTCTGACTTCGGGCTCTAGGATAATAATAAAAGTCAATATTCTCCTGTGAGTTACTGTTCACTCTGAGAAAAGATAATTCATTTGTGTCTTTTAGCTTATTTTTAAAAAGAAACAAAGGAGAAAAAAAAAAGATGGATTTACAGGTCTACAGGTAATTGAAGGGTTACCCAATTATTGTAATTTCTTTGGTGTGCTCCACCTAGTTTTGTCTCCACCTAGTTTTTTAAAAAGAATGTGACAATGAAGGAAAAAGGAAAAAAATTCCTTAAATCAAATAAACAACTATAGTAACAGGGAAGAAAACCCCAGGAGGTCTTGATATAAAGCAAGCCAGATCTGAAGTCCTCTGAAACTTTGGTGCTAGGCTTGGAATTACAATCAAATGGAAATCTTTTTTTAACCTCTGGGGTGCTTATTCTCTTGCCTGTCATTTTCATTTGTGTTTTAATAGCTGTAAAGCATGTAGACTGATTGCTGCCTGGTTATGGTAGGTGCTGACAGATGTGGCTGTTGACATACATGGCTTGGCAAAAAAATGTTGGGGGTAATGTGCTCAGTACTCAGGTTAGGGGATGTTGCCTAACTTGAAATAGACAAATATAATTATGTTTAATTTTCTGTCTGTTGGATAAAAGTTGATAGGAGACACGTGCTTCTTTCAGCCATTAAATTTTAATTTCATTATGTTCCTATTCCTCCTAGCTTGTCAATGTCTCTTGTGCTAATAACTATGCTCAGGTTCAGAATTCAGGTTCAAAAGCATACTGCCCTTTCTATAAGCAGTGTAGGTCTTTGTAATACTCCATCTAATAAACTGCAGACATGCCGGACAAAAATAGGGAAGGAAGGAATAGTAAGCCAAGGTCTGTCAAACTTTTACTGGTTTCTGGACTGTTGCTTTATGATCCTGGACTCTCAACCTACTCACATCTATTTATTTTACATGAGTAAATTTGCCTTGCTAATACTGATGATAACTGTGCAACGTATCACTGACTTTTAACTAAAGTTGGCCTAGCATTTCCCATCAAAGGATAACGATGTTACTCAGAGAAAGATACTTGGATCAATGCCCCTATGGAATAGGAGGAGTTCCTCAAAATGTCCAGTTCACATTTATAAACTCTTTCAATATTGTCTTACTTTAATGTATAGAAGAATTTTAAAAAGTATTTAGGCTGACTATTTTGATGTTGATTCTTCAAATTCAGCCAGGATCTGTCTCAAATGAAAGTTGGTGCTTTCAGACATCCTTTATAAACTACCTTTAAACTGTGACTCTCAGTGCCTCTTAAAGGCTTGGGTCTCAGTTCTGTCCATACCCGAAATAGTCTTTGATTAAATTTATGTGCACAAACCACTTTTTTTAGCTCCTGCTTACTTACTGGAATCTAATTGCAGCTCTCTAACATCTTTGAAAGGTGAATGATTTTGCCTGTGACAATTTTCTTTTTGTGGTTTTGGTGAAGGTTTAAGATCACATGTTGCTCACATTTAATGTTTGTTGAGATGATGTTCCCTTTAGCAAGAGCTGTTTATCCAGACAAAGCATCCTGCACAGGATGCTGGAAAAGCTAGCAATCTTCTTATTGGAGATGTGTTAATTATAATGGGTACAGATTGTAAGTGGTGATTTTACATTGGTAATTCATAAAGAGCTATGAGCTAGTGATGGGTCAGCAGGAAACCATTCTCACCTGACAGTGTCTTCAGTTGATGTGATGGTGGTCTGTGACATATTTATGATTAAAAGTGATGTTTAAAAACCAAAGGTCTGCTTGCATTTACTATTTCTTTATGTAGAATAGGGGAGCCCCTGGTGGTCTAGTGGTTAAGGACACGGCGCTGTCACTGCCGAGGCCCGGGTTTGATTCCCGGTCGGGAACACTCCCTGGGCAGATGGAGCTCGTTAGCCCTTAAAGGCAGCCCATCTACGTCCTAAGGACCTCGCTGCCACTGTCCAAGCTCGCTTGGCCCCGGCAGATGAACCTTAGGATTAAAGGGTGGGCTCAGTTCCGCGCACACTGTGTCTCACCTAAAAAATCCAATGCGCAGGCTGGAAGGATCTTCACTCGCGAAGACTGGCCATTATTATTTATTATGTAGAATAGATTCTACTGATGAAAGCATATTTAGAATATGCTTTAAGTTCTAGGGCTTTCAGTTGATAAAAAATTACTCCCTAACAGATAATAAACTAACCATGAGGTCTAAATGTAAACCTCACTTTATTAGGAGATTGACCTATGTTGTATGTATGTATATGTTGTATGAAGTTGGATTGAACAGCAATATAAGGAAAACACCCGTTTCCTATGTTTGTTAATAGCTTGAAATCCAAGTCCCGTTTCTCACTTTTACCTCTTCTAATGAAAAAATTATTTCATGTCAGTTAATGGTGTGTCTCTAATTTTATTGAATAGGAAAATACCACAAACTCTTTCACCTCTCATGCATTTCCATTTAGGGTGTAGTTTATAGTGGAATTTAATGATAAATGTAGATGGTGCATGCTGCATCATTTTGATGCCCAAAGAGTGGTGTCCATGGACCAGTAACATGACTTTGTCTGTTCCACTCTCATAAAGAAAATGTGGCCTTTATTGGAGTATGTCAGGAATGGTTTTGGTCAGGTTGGGTTTTATTGGTTTTGATCATGTTTGCATCAGTACAGAGCTTTTAATTTGGTGGAGAAAGGGTAAGAAAGTGCATGAAAATTTCACTCGAGGTCTATTTGAATGCTATGATAGGTCAAGAAAACAATTTGTTTTTTTTAATGGGAACTGTGTTGCATTTATGTATATTTTTCTAAATCGTAAGTGAAGCACAAGCTTTCTGGGGAAAGTCTTAGCTCTGATTTCTGGGTTTTTTATATGTATGGCCAGGTGTGTTTTGGTTTTTTTTCTTTCCTTTTTATGTATATACAAAGTTTTTTTAGGTAGTCGCTATTTTCTTGCCAAGTTATTTACTGAAGGTATGCGTTCCATGGTAGTTCTTCAGTTGAGATGTGCTGTCAGATGATTTGGTTCTCCCAAAACCCCAGAGTTATTTACAAAAAACCTGTAATTCTTGCTTGGTTTTTTGCTTTACAGGCTCTCTGTTTCACAATATGTGTCCTTTTGAAGTCCTTCTGGGCTGTGGTGGCTCTTAATATTTCAGATTCTCTTTTGCTACGTTTGCTAGTCCAGCAGATTAATTAGATATATTCATTTGTATCTACTTTAAAATCTAGCTTTAGCCTTTTAATTCTTCTCTGGTTCTGTCATTTCTTTGTGCAACAGAACTCTGTCAGATGGTGAGTGAGAAGGGAAGGCACAGCTTTGGGTCATTAGGGAGATGGCACAACATTGGGCACACATATGGGGTGAACAGGCTTTCCTGAGGTTTTTATAGCCAATTTCTAAATGACAATGTGGAACTATCTGTGTACAGAAAATTATATTTAGGGAAACAACACAAAATCTGCAAAGTCCAGTGTTTGGACATTGACTTTCCACAAAACTGCTGTGTGTAAAGGGTATATGATCTCAGAAAAAGAAATAAAGACCCTAAAATGCCTTTAAAATGGTGATTATAAGAGTGAAGCTGTAGCATAAATGGGCATTTTTTATTTCTGTTGTTTATAGTCATTCAAGTCTTGGATTCTTGGTAACATTTTCTACGGGTCTTGTAGTCTAAAATATATAATCTTAAAAATTTTACATTAATTTTGCATACCTGGATGGTATATCTAATTATGGAAAGGTCTGATTACCTGTTTTCAGTGGTCAGATCAGTGTTTGAATATGCCATATTTGGTTGTTTGTCTTTAGATTTGTCAGAGATACTGATCATACCAAAATTAAGTTTGCTTTGTTTAACTTACAATTACTTTTGCATGTGTATTAACTGTACCAGTGAACTGATCTTTCAAGTGTTGGTTTGTTGTCGTTTCTTTTTTTTTAATAGAAGCTGTTAATATTTTGTTAAGGGTTTTTTTCCCTGCAATTTAAGAGTAAGGTTACTGTTAATCACCATCACTGTCATTTTGTGTTCTTCCTCAGCAATTTGTAGAAATAGCTGTGGCGATGGATTTTGTTCCCGTCCTAACATGTGCACTTGTGCAAGTGGGCAGATATCACCTACCTGTGGATCAAAATCTGGTAAGGACTTACTATATTTTCATTAGAGATTTCATCTAAAGTGATTGTCTTTTAAGCTTCAAAAAAACCACCAACTTCTTTAAAAGTAGCTTGTCAGTACTGCATACATGACTCACACTTTGGCGTATTGCTAGTTTTTTATAAAGTTTGATGTACCTTTTGTGCAACAAATTGAAAAAAATGTGTTAAAAGAATTAAGCAAGTTAAAATATATATGTGTAGTACCATTCACTGGTGTCTCCCTGGGCTCTGCTCTAGTCCAGCAGTGCAGCATCAGGTGCATGAACGGTGGGACATGTGCAGACGAGCGGTGCCAGTGCCAGAAGGGCTTCTCTGGGACTCACTGTGGGCAGCGTAAGTCACTCCTACATCTCTTGCATCTAAAAGTAAAGCCACATCAGCTCTGCAAGTCAACTTTCTTACCTGAGTTGGAAGATAAAAAAAGACAGTATGTAATGAAATATCTGAAATAAATGCTGGCTTGGGGTATAGCATTTGGCTGGCAGTCAGTTAATTCATGGAGTGCATTTGTATTCTCTAAAATTCAAATTAGAGATCAAATTCACCAAATAGTTTCAGAAGATCCTTGGGGAACAATGTCACTATACATCCTACTCTTCATACCACATGATCACTGACTTTTCACTCTCTTTAACAAAGTTTCTCTGTCTCAGGACAACAGTCTCGCTGCTGGGTTAAAGCAAGTTTTTCTGATTTCTACTTCTCTAAGGAGAGAAAGATGAAATACAGTTCAAGCTTTTGAATACCTTTTTAGGTTGTCAGACAAGCTGGAAAGTCAGTTATTTGCACAAGTCTCCCTACAACAGCACGGTGTTTACAAGCTATACAAATTTAGCAAACAACAAAAGTCACTGAAGGCTGCACGGATGAGGAAAGACTCAAAGTGTATTCCAAGGCCAGCTGACTACTAGTTAGCCTTGAGATTAATTCCTGAACGTAGTCTGAAGGAAGTAGAGGAAATCAAAGGGCTGCTATGCAAGGAAAAGTTAGACTGAATAGTATGAACATCCTTTTGCCTTACTAATTTTTGAAAATGCTGGAAGGCAGTCTTGTTCTTGCTTTATTTCAAACTAGATAAAACTCTCTAAAATTTTAGCAAATAATTGTAATCCTAAACAGTAACTACAGTGAAATTTACTATTAAAGAGTTGCTGGCACCTTCCTGCTTGTTTTAAAGTATTGGATCAATATCATATGCTGAATGCTCTCAAACAAGGCATACTTCCAGTGAATAAATGGAAAGAGGACTGAATTTTCAGGAGGTGATCCTGAAATGACCCAGAAAATCTGAACACACTCTGGAGATGGGTTTCAGTGTATAGGACAGTTAAAATTTCAAGGAAGATGTTTGAAATAGGATATTTGTCTTTAGACAGTCTTAAAAATGTAAGTAAGTTTTTATTTCTGTTTAGTAATGTATCTTGTATATACTAAAGTTAAATGGCTCACTAAAGTATCATTGTCCATTAATTCAGTAATGTAACACACATAGCAAAGTATCTTCATTTTAGTCATAAGGTAGGCATTCTCAGTAAACATTAATTTAGTTTTGTTGTTCTTGGTAAGAAGTAAGGCTTTATCACATTTCTACACAACAGTGTATTTTATGTTTCCCATTATGATACAGGAAAAAAAATGCACATTTTTCCAGTTTGAAATACTTACCTTCTCAAGGTTGCTGAGGCTCTTTTGCACTGGATGCTCAGATGTGCCACCTTCAAAGTCAGGGAACCTATGTAGGAAGGCAGCCTAGCAACTTCCAGAGCAAGATCTCTTTTCTGCTGTTGAGCGACTTAAAAATGTTGTGACTGTCCTTTAGGGTGAAATGCTTTGATTTGAAACATGCTAAATTTAACAAGGCATATGTTCATGTCCTCGAAACAATGAGACTTAAAATAGGTGGAATTAATTAGCTAAAGCACTCTTTAAATGATATTTTTCAACCCTGCTGAAGAACTGATTTTTCAGGAGGTGATCCTGAAATGATCCAGAAAATTTTCAAATTGAGAAAATTTCTGTGGTTTGGCAGGAAGCATCATTCTTGATTCAGACTGTTGGTAAATATGGGTGCTCTGAAGTCCCATGACTATGAAGTATCTTCTCCATCTAACTATACTCTGAATTTATACCTCCCTCACCCACACCCCCAACCTACACAGCAAAAATTTTATTTCTTGTTGGAATCTTTAAAAAAACACAGTTTTTTCAGGGACTTAAAAGATGAGTTAAATTGGTAATTCTTTTTCCTTGTCTCTAAATATTGCTTCTTCTGCCAGCAGTATCAGGTCTGAGAGATGATTATCTGTCTCTTGGACTCCCCAAGCCTATCTCCTTGAAAGGTTTGTGCTGTTGTGACTGAACAGCACAATTAAATATGCTCCAAAAAACTTGAAATAGTTGAGGTTTAGCTAATAGCTAACTTCAGTGATGGATATAAGTTCTTATGATTAGTGACTAGAGCTGTACAACTGATTAAAATATACTTAAGTTAAACATCTGCTATTAATCTGTGCTAAACAGCTGTTTGCAATTAGCATTAAACAGGTACTAATGGAATTTGATTTCAACAGTTAATTCTGGTGATGGTGGTAGAAACGAAATCAGTTTCATCTTCAGGTCCAGAAAGACTTGGAGCAGTGGAAGGAAAACAATATTTTTTTTTTAATACTGCACATATTAATCTTTGAAATATTATTGATATAACATGTAAAACCTTTGTTGTTGTTGTTGTTTAAAGCTGTCTGTGAAAATAGCTGCCAGAATGGAGGACGGTGTATTGGACCCAATCGCTGTGCCTGTGTCTACGGGTTTACTGGCCCTCAGTGTCAAAAAGGTAAAAGAAAAAAGCAAGGAAGAAAATTATGAGCAGTTACATGCAAAAAATTCTGTATGTACATATTTTATGGTGTGCATTTTCTGGCTGAGCCAGTAAGCTTCCAGTAAACCATTTAGCATTTGTAATTTGAGAAAGTGTGTCTTTCCTTTTTAGTCTGGAAGACACGTTACAAATTGACAGGTACAAAGGTGTTTTAATTGGCAGGAATTTGAGCTAATTTAGGTTGCTTATTTTGTTTGTATAATACTTAAATGATTAGCCATCTTTTGCTCTCAGCTACATGAAGTAATATTCCAGCAGAATTACTGATGGTGTTAGAACTGTGTAAGTGTAGCTAATTGGAGGATTGTTTTTCTGTATAACACCTCTTTTTTACAGGGAACTTGGGAAGTAGTTTGCTCTTGTTATTTCTGACCTATCAGAGAAAGTCAGAGATGGAATGAAAAAATAACCCATTACCATAATACTGAGATCAGTTACTAAACCTATTCTTACTCAAGAAAGCATCTTACATGTGGCTTAATTTATGATGCTTTTAATTGCTCTATATCCTGAGGCAGTTACCCTAAAGAGGTGGTTACAAACAGCAGTAAAGTCCCCTTGAAACCTTAAAAAAACATTGAGGCTGTTGAACTCAGTTCCCTCAGCCTCCCTACACAGGGCAAGTTCTCCATCTCCCTGACCTGTTTGGTGGTTTTCCTATGGACCTGTTTCAGTAGGTCCATTTTTTTCCTGTGTTGAGAGTCCAAGACTGGACACAATATGCTTGATGCAGCATCATAAGTGCCAAATGCAGGTGCAGGGCAACTTCCCTGTGCTGGATCCTGCTCTCATCCTTACACAGCCCATGCTCCTGGCCTCTCTTCTGCATGGGAATGCTGCTGCTTCACAGTCAGGTTGTTGCCTGTACCTCACCACTCACTGTATGTTTATGGGAGACCGTCCCAAAAGCTTTTCTCAAATCAAGCAAAAACCACTGCCCTCTCCTTGTGCTCCACACGTGGGACCTCATGCCTGAAAGCAGTGATGCAATTCATCCTTGATAAATCCACACCAGCTGCTTTCAAACATCTTCTTGTCATTCATGTGTGTAGAAAGTGCTTCTGAAGGGAATTCTCTGTTTCAACTGCAGCTCTGAACGCTTTTTTTGTTGGTTTTTTTTTTACATTTGTTAACCTAAATGAAAATTATTTCCATGTGGATAAAGGAAATAATGAAACCAAACAGTGAAAAAGCAGGAGTTTCTATTTGCTATCCCAGGCTGTTTTGTGTATATCTACATGCATGAGAGAAAGATAGAGGATGAATTTTTTTGTTTCTAACTGGTTGTTTCCTTCATTCATCTCACTCAGATTTACAGTTTACTCTTTACCCCACTCTCTGTAGTCGCTTCTTATGAAGAAAGCGCAAGGACTCAATCTTCTAAATTTTGGTTAGTGGAGAAATACGATTATTCTGTTAAAGTCATGAATACTGACAGTCATTTTATAGCCATTTACAGAAATATGTCTGTGTACAATGTGCACCTGCCTAAAATAAGAAACTACGAAGTCTATCTGTTCAGAATGGATTTTCAAGGGATTGGACAATGTTGGTTTGCATTATAGTTTGACCTTTAGTTCTGATGGAGCTTAAGATTTGTCCAAATTCTGCAGTCTGAGGTATGTATCCAAAATGGTTGATAGTTATAACTGAACTTTAGCATGATAGAGTTGTAATATTCAAAATGATTCATTGTTTTGGGGGTTTTGTATTTGATTGATTGCATTCAGGGTTTTTTTTTTTTATTTATAGTCAGACAACTTGGTAAATTTGCCTTTTTTTTTTTCCAGATAATAGAAATTATTCCTAGTTAAGATTTTCTTCTTTTCTCTGACTAGATTCAGGGCTGTGAAATCATGTTAATACCTGTGACAGACTTGCATTTTCTTGCTTGAAATAGGAGGCAGTAAGCGAAATTTGCTTCTGTCACTGTCACAAAAATACAACAAACATTTAGTATATGTAATTGCATATATAATAGCTATCTATCTAATGTAGCTATCTATCTAATGTAATATGCTTTTACAACTGTGACAGGGCTAAGTAAAATTTTTCCTGATCTTGGTGTTTCATAGACTTCCTCATGTTCAATAAAAGAAGTTACTGATTTATTTTACTATTACTCAGTTAAAGAAAGATGATTCCTATAGTATATCTTGATAATGAAAATGAAAAGTCTCTGAAAGTCTCAAAATTCTCTTAAGTCTCTAAAAGTCTCTTAACTGTAAATGTTACTAGGGTTTTTTATGCTTTAAATGAGATGGAGTACTTGAAAATACTGTAAAAGATACCTTAAATGCTTATTTTGTTCAGTAGTAATTTGTAATTTACGCTTTTAATGTAATAGTTCAGGTTTTCCAACAAAAAGCAAAAGGCAATGATTTCTTCATCTACTGGTTACAAGAGTTACCTGTAATATTTTACAATAAGAAGTGTCTCAGTGGTTTAGTTTTAAACTGAGTTTGGCAACAGTTCATAACTTTAACTAAAATTTTATAATTTAGGGGTGTGTGAACTTCCCTTGCAAATCACATCAGAGTTATAGGAGATTTTGTTTTGTTATTTTTTTACATCATTGTGTTTCAAATGCATACTTTTTATTGTTCTGTAAATTAAGTTCTCTAAAATTAGACAATTTCTTCCTAATTTAGAACATATGTAGCTTTCCTTCAGTTTGGCCCCCCATACTAAGTTATATGATAAAATGTTCAGCTATCTGGACTCTGAGCAGACTAATTTCCGGGCTGGAGACAGGAGGCTGAGCAATAACTAATGACTGGCATGATTACAGTATTTAATTTGAGACTTCTGCTTGGTTAGAAAGAAAGTAGAACCACTTTGGGAGCTCATGATTTTTCTGATACGTACACTGACCTTTTATATTTCCTATCAAATCTGATCTCTGGTTAGCTTCTTGTCTTTGATTTGTAAACACACAAGGTTTGAGCGTTTTATTTTGTCTGAGTTTTTGTTGTTGAGTTTTTAAGATGGAAAAAAAAGGTGTTGAAATTTTTGCAGTTGAGTTTGCCCAGTGAAAAAGTTGAAAAAGAAAATACAGCAGGTTAAGAGGCCTTGTTCTCACTTGTAAATGCAAGAGCAGGTTTTTTTTCTAGCATGACCAGTTCCTTTGGTTTCCCAACATGGCCTGAGTAAATGATATTTGTATTACTGCTGTATTACTGTGCATTTTTTTAATTGATGTTCCTTCGGGATATGAAGCTGTGGAAAAGCAATGATGTTTTCTTCCTTCTTTATCATGGGATAAAGGCAGTAAGAAGTGGGAAAAGAGAATCCTGTCAGGGATAAAAGTTTGCCTTCATCCCATGTAGAGGGAGAAAGAACAGTTTTCACTTACTCTCTACATAAATGGCTTGTAATGGAAAACAAAAGGGTTTGGAATGAATACAAATGTGTAGCTTGGGAAGAATGTCCTTTGCAAGAGGATTTCAGATAAAGCTACCAAGCTTTGACAGGTGAAAAAAGGGGAAAAATAAGGAAATATAATAGTTCAATAACAGCCTTCCAATACCTAAAGGTGGCCTACAATAGAGCTGGAGAGGGAGTTTCTACAAGGCAGTGAAGGGGTGATGTCTTTAAGCTGAAAGAGGGCAGGATTAGATTAGATGTTAGGAAGAAATCCTTCCCTCTGAGGGTGGTGAGGCCATGGCACAGGTTGCCCAGAGAAGCTGTGGCTGCCCCATCCCTGGAAGTATTTAAAGCCAGATTGGACAGGGCTTGGAATGGATCAACGTGGGATAGTGAGCTAACATTCCTGATGCAGATTCCACAACAGGGGACTTGGACCTAGACGATCTTTAAGGTCCCTTCCAATCAAAAACCATTCTATTAGTAAGATTCTGTGCATATAGCGTAAGGATTTTTGAAGAGGGGCAACTTTTGGGATATTCTCAGGAGACTTGTTGTTCATGTGCTTTAGACAAATATGTGTGTTGCAGCTGGTATTCACAGTAAAAGTATCAGGACACTTTCTATTGACTGAATATTGGGATTTTTTTTTTGTCAGTCAAAGGAGATAAGAGCCTGTACCTCATAACAGATGCAGTAAGTCTGGGGCAGCTGCCGCCCTGCAGGTTCTTACTGGGTTAACAGGAAAAGCTCGTTGGTAGAAACCCTCCTCTGTGCAAGGCAGCAATTTTTATGTCACTTCTGCAGCACCCAGAAGAATTTGGCCCAAGCAATTGAAGAGTCCTGGGTGGGGCAGTAAACATAATAAATAAAATGCCTCTGGATCTGAAGAAGAGCTTGCTGCAGAGGATAGTGAAAAAGGTTTGAGGCAGAAAACAGAACTGACATAGAGATTCATTTTGTGGAGTAGGAGAGCATACATCTAACATTATTTTCCTGTTGCTGAGGGTCAGATGAAAGTAACTGATCTCAAATATAATCAGTGATGATCCTATGTCTAAGGACAATAGAAGAAGAATGGGAGAAAAGATAAAAGGGTTTTCTCCAAGCTGCAAAGAGGATGGAGAAGCTTACCAACAGCACAGAGAAAGGAGTAAGAGGAAGTAAAAAGCACTCACAGTGTAAGTGTTAATACTGTATTGTAACTGAGGCAAGAGAGTAAAGAACACAGAACCGAAGTGGAGGCATACTGAAGCAGCTGATAGGCTTAAAAGTTGTAAAGATGTTTGAGGATAATACATGTGATTGAAATAAAGCTCATATAGCAAACTGACACAGATTTATATAGGACTCAATACTTCTCAAATGTATTTCTATTATAAAGAAAACTTACAATTTATATTTAGTCTATAGTGCTACTGAAGATACTTGTGTGTGCTTAAGTGACAGAGATTAAGTATAAATGAAGCAACATCCTTTAAGAAACTACTCCTTCCCCTGAGAGGGGTTCAGAACTTTACGCAGCTTTTCCGTATTTGTTTTTGGGCTGTATTCAGATCTTTTGTATTTGGTCTTACTCCTGTGATCTC